TATTTCTTAATGTTTCCTACAGCGTTTCTTACTTTGTAAGAAAGAAACTTCCAATCTCTCAATCTTTGAAATGTTTTTCTTATTTATATTTCTCATTTTTTTTAAACAAAATTCTGCATGAAGAATGACAGTGAAGAGCAGGTCAGGTTGAAAGCTCCTCGGAAGCGTCTACTCGGGCCGTCTCTGTCGCTGCAGCTACCACATTGCTGTCCATGAATGCAGCAGGGGTATTTTTAGCACTCCTCCGAAGCAGGCTGCCTGCTCAGGTTACCTCGGCACTGCAGTCACTCCAGGAGATGCTTTACATCCTGCAAAGTTTGAGGTGGCTGAGCTGTAAGAGTTTAGGAAGCTTGCATTTGTTTGGCAGTGTCCTGAAGAACCCTTCCAGCTGTTCACTGGGAGGAAACAGCCCCTGAGGTGGTCACCATTGGGTATAAATTGACGTCTCGCAGGCAAGCACGGGGGACATGCCCTTGCACCGGAGCAGCCAGAGGCAGGGAAGGAGTGAGCTGGCAGCCCGGAGCTCCTGGCTGCTTCCCTGGTCGGCTGCGGCTGAGCTTGTGCTGCAAACCTTGCAGCAACGTTTAAAAATGTGAGTTTTGTTGAAGGAACAACCTCTGGAATTATTGGGATAAAATTAGACATTCTCAAAACCTTCCTTTGGAGTTGAAATCATCTCTCTGAACCTCGCAGCACTTTTGTGAGGCAATGTACATACATAAGAAATTTTATTACTATGTCCTGAGTTGCCAGATAGACACCCTTGAGGGCCATAGTGTTTGGGTGACACTCAACAGTAGCGCTTGAGCTACCTCACGTGGATCTTGGTTACTGTGGCACAGAAAGAGGGGGACTTCGGAGTGAAACACGCCTTCAGTGCTTCTCAGCTTTTTTTAAAAAAAAAAAAAATTGACATCTGTTTTAATTAGTTACCAACCCTTTTCTTTATTAAATAGTTTTTAATTTTTTGCGAAGGATCCCATTAGGATGCCAGGAGGGGCGGAGGGGAGTTACTGCTCTGCAAACGAGCCAGCTAGCGTCAGTGGACATGGCTCAGCCTCTCAGCAGTCTGACTCAGTGGTAAATGCTCTGAAGGTAACGCTCCTCCGGTACACTCCATGCAAAACGTCGTGTCTGTTACTCAACACGTGTCGTATTGTCCTGGCAACATTCCTGTGGACACCACTGGGATGTTACTGTCATGAGCGGGATTGTTTCTCTGTTTGTCACTCATTGCATCTGTGGACTGTGTGTTTCTCGGGGCAGGGACTCGGCCCTTACAATGGGGGTGATGCCAGCTGTAGCTGCTCTCCAAATTACTTACACTTGTACAGTTTTTCTTTGAAGCTGAAAGTGGTGTTTTTCTGAATAAGGAAATCTTTTTACGTCATGTAGGATGCATATTTGTTCTCCAGTGGAATATAATGGATTCCTGTAACCCATGCACAGAGAAATACTTTAATGCAAAGATAAAGCCAATGCGCATGGTATATTCATAATAAAAATAGCAGAACTTGGGCTGAAGGCCATGCATCATGATTCCCAGGTCAGTGTTGAAACTTCTGTGAGAGCAGATGTGATTTACTCTGAAGTCAGGGTTGTATTTCAAAGACCTGTGTTGCATTGATAAACAGCAATTGACACAAGCAATCAGAGGGGCAAATTTGCAAGTTCTTAACCTATGTCAACAGTGAAACTGTTGCAGTTAATGAAACTTAGAAAGCTGTTACAAGATGCAGTGGTTTACCAGGTGATCTGAATCAACAACTGGCTGAGTTCACTGTCCCACTGCAGCATGTGCGTCAACAGTGTCCCTGCTCCTCTGGAGAGGATTAAAAACTGAGGGTGAGCTGAGCGGAGAGCATGGACTTTGTATTCCTGTCTCCTAACTCTGGCTCTAACATGATCATTTTCTGGTTGTCTTCTCTCCTGTACTTCACTCATTAGCTAAACTGCTTTAATGTTCATTTGGTTAAGTGGGTGTTATTCCCCACCTATCCAGATGTTGCAGGGGCATACTGGTTACTTGGAGGGGGTAGGTTTGCCCTCCTTCAGGGGAGAACTGGAAGGGACTTTTGTAGACATTTGCTCTGTTTTTGAGCTTCATAGAGATGCACGGGGCACAGTAAGAGCTCAGTAGTGCTGTTGACTTGCCTGGATATCTGACTTTATGCGCAGGGTGATTATCTTCCACGTGGCTGGGTGACATTGCCGTCTCCTCCATGAAGCCTGAGGAAATAGGTTTATGCAAGTGAACTGTGCACAAATTACAGCAATCAGATCCTTTCCTGTAACATAAAACCCTGGTGCAGGGCTTCACCGCAGCCGCCTCGCCTGTTTTTCTGGCTTCCGAACGGGGGAAGCAGCAGCAGAGTGCTTGAGCCCCTCTCCACGTGCACACAACTGCAGGTTCCCTCTCTAATGGCCGCCCCTGACACGTCCCCATCGGCAGCACTCTGCCTGTGAGTGCGCTGGTCTCGCCCTCGTACAGGAGAGGTACGATGGACCACCATTCCCGGCTGCTGGGGAGTGCCCGGAAACATTCCCGTCTGCTGGGGAGTGCCCGATTTAGCAGGGCTCAAGGTCCTGTGTGCATCTGCCATATATTTCACCTGCTGTTGCCTAGAAAATAAATCTATGCCAAGTAATTTTGTCAAGAGATCATGCATAATTACCGAAAAAAGCCTTTTGTAGTTCTCTGAAAATACCCATTGGCAAAGACACTTCCCTGAATGGAACATTTAACAACATGCTTTTGACAACCTGTAATAGCTGGTTGGTGTAAGTGAAATATTTGAACAATGGCTGATAACCTTGGTTGCTGAAATGGATTGATAAGAAATACACAGAATTTAGTTCAGTATGATGTGAAAGCTCAGCTTTTAGTTTGCTAGGAGGTATTGCAGCAGGCAGAAATAGATATAAATGATACTGTTATATTTGAAATGGAAGGTGAGCTGTCAGCTAAACAGACTGCCCAACCTTCCCCATCCCCAGCCAGGGAGGAGACCCTGCTGTTTCCCAGAGTGAAGCATATGGGTTTGATCCTGCCTTTCTGGGGAATGCAGAGCTCCCACTTGCATCACTTAGCAGAATCAGATGCAGGAGGAAGAACAAGCCAAAGTAAGGAGCCTGCTTTTCTTTACAAATTGGGCAATTTGGAATTCCTGCAATAAAAGGAATAGTCTTTGTTACAAAACCTCATTGTTAGTGCAATCCCCTTCTGCACAGCTGCTCAGCAAGAAATCTAAAGATCAGGAATGTATTTTAAAGGTACAGATCCATAAGAAAACACAGGGAGGTCATTGCTAAAAATAGTGCTGGTTTTTTCCTGAGTAATGAGGAGACTTTAAAAAAAAATTTGCCTGTGAATCTCCCGCTGGTGGAGAGAGTGGTGAAAGAGAGAGAGGAGCTTTGCCATGCAGCTTGTCTGATAAAGGCTCCTCCATGGCCTGATCCGTCACGCAGGGTGGTTGAGAGAAGCAACTGCCGTGCGTGTCCCCGTGCCTGGGCCTTGGAGATCTTCCCCACCCTGCCAGTGGTTATGGGATTATTCCCTATGTGCAAGTGGTATCACTAGGGATATACAAGTAGTTATTTCATATGGCAGGATGTGTTTGTTTCTTTTTGCAAGTTGTATATGACCAAACTGCTTGTGTGTGGAGGTGTGCATATTCCACACAGGTTTGCTTTGCAGACCAGGGTTTATATTTATGGAATGACGATCGTTACCTAGTCTGAGTGCCTGAATAACCAAGGGCACAGGCTTACCTGCAAAACTTGCATTGGGTTTTCCTATCCTGAGTTCCATGTCGCCTACTGGAAACTCCACTATGCCATCTACAAATTAAATTGAGGTATGCTTTAATCGAAGACAAGGTCTGAGGCTAAGTGTAGGAGTTGCTGCAGTAAAAGTAAGTGTTCTGTGGTACCCAGGAGGTCAGTAATGACCTCCTGCCCTGAAATCCAGAGCAGTGTAATCAGTTTAATTATCTTTAAATGCAATTGGTCAGTTATATATGTATGCCCATACTCAGGAAGGACCCATGAAAGCTTAAATATGCTACTGCTCTTATTTGTGGCTGCAAAACAAATTTGTAAAATAAAATTCCCCCCCCCCCCCCTTTTTTTTTTTTTTAAACATACCCTTGTCTTGGAAGCTCAGGAAAATATAAATCAGCAGGCTGTTAAAGACTCTTACCACTACCTTAGTGAGACAGAAAAAGCTGTGGCTGGAGAAATGTGCACTGTAAGTTTAGGGTGTTTAATTTTATATTCCATCTTGAGCCTGGAAACACCTGAAGATGCAAAGTATTTTTTGTTCAAATGCTGACAATACGCCCTTGAAGATTTTATATGGAAATTAAGTAAATTACTGTTTCTGTAATGCAATTACTGTTTTATTAGGAACACTATAATTTTAACATGTTGGTCAGTATTGATCATAAAAATCTACATGTGATAATATATCTGGGATACAGTACTGTATGACTCAGCTGACCTGAATTTATCCTTCATAAGAATAAAATTTGGCAAGTATGATGAAGTCTGGCAGCCTCAGTTTCCCCATCAGTATACTGGCACCTATGTATTGTCTTGCCTACACTATTGCTTTGCAATTTATGGATAAAAAAGCAGTTTCTAACTAATACATATTTAACAGGAATCCATAAAAGTTCTTGTGATGTAAGTAATGCTAATTCTAAAATACTAATAGACTAAATTTGATGTTATCAATTCATTTTTGTACATCCCAAATATATACTTGTGTTCTGCCTTGTCTCTTTGTTCCCCAGCCATTCAAAGCTCTGCCGCTGGCATTGAAATGCTACATTTTCTTCTGACTTTTATGATCTGTGTCTGATTTGACTATTGATATATTATTATACTTTTTAAATAGTTGGTTATTTCCTTTCTGGTTTTACTTTTTCTTACATTCATCTAGTCCATGTTAAAAGTACAGTGGATGTGTGATGAACTAATTATGATGTTTCTTTTCTTTTGCATTCTCATTGCAGTTCCTTCCAGTTTATAGCTCACTGTTTTGCTGCAGCTTTGTGCGCTGTGGGTGTTTTACATGAAACATTTGCCACGGCATCGTTTTGCCTTTGAAAACAGTGGATTGATGACAAGTTTCATTTTGGGTGCTATAATTTTGGTGCATAGTCTTAATTGGTACTGAAATGCAATTTGAATGTATAGCTCATGTTGTATGAACTTTATGGTGTTATATGATCAGGTTGATACTTTATCAAGATAACGGATGTGCGAATTCTCTCCTCAGGATGCGCATATGGTGTTGGTATTGGTACCACCTCATCAACAACGTATTTGGGAATGTTTTTGCTTTGTATTTATATACTTGCATTGTCTTAGGAGAATGTAGCAATGCGTAGCAGCGGGTTTAGAGGCAGTTTATCGTGTATTGGTGAGCATGGAGGTAATTTCAAAGCACAGGAATGTTTGGATTAAGTCTGGAGGTTTGTTCTTTGTAATTTTCCTCAGGCTACCGGTAAGTTTTGTTCACAGGGCTGCAGCACGCTCACTTGGGCTGGGAGCCAAAGGGAAGATGGGGTATGCCATATGGGATTGGTGGAGTAGCTGCCCAAGAGGGGTCAGGGAGCCCAGAGATCTCCATGAGTATTTTATGCTGCACGTGAAGTACCACGGGCCTCGAATGCTACCACAGCCAGCAGGTGACGTAGCTGCTGTCATCTGCAGTTAGGGTGTGGGTTTCTGCCTGGCTACCAGGGAGAAGATTTCTCCGTTCTTTCACTCTGGTGTGTTGGAAGTAAGCTAGAAATGAATCGCCATGACTGTATCGTGAACTTCATAGCTGTCCTTTATTCAGTCAAGGTTTCTGCTGAAATTTTGAGTGAAGTTTTTGGTACTGGGCTTTTTACTCTCTCATAACTATTTAAAACACATTCAGGAATACATAAGTATTACATTTTTCTCTTGAGTGCTTGTAAACGCAAAGTAATTCCATTAGTGCTGCTTATGACAAGTTAGTGTTGAACTAGTGAACTGAGAAGTAAACAATCCTATATGCAAATCCAAAATGCACATAAAATGCAGAGGGCCAAACAAATATGTGTGCAGAACACAGCGATATATACAGCTATCATGGCTGTGCAAAGAACTGCCAGCACAAAAGGAGAGTTTGGTGATAAATCTGCAGAAATTTAACCTATATCATCCTGTGTTTCTGAAAAGGAGGCAAATAAGATTACTGTGATGCCTTTGAGACCGAGGTATCTGTTGCACTGTATGCACGGGCAAAAGTGGTTGCTGACACAGATTTCTCCATTTCCCACCCATAAAAATGGCACGAGTATTCCTTTTGACCCCACCTTGTCAATTCTGCTTAGGATGTTGGCTTTCCAGGGCTGTCTTATGTGCATTTGTCCCTTCCTAGCAATCAGGGGTCATTTGTTCACCTGGAAATAAACGACTTTGGGAAGCGACACCTTTTAGTTTATTATTGTGTCAGCATTAGCTGCTTGGTAAATATTGTCTAATGTCTATTGACCAGAAAAATTGTTGAAATTGTAGGTACAATGTGCCTTCTCACAAAAGCTATCCAAAAGGTCTTACTTCTTGATAATGTGATGTTAGGAACATCAGCAACCAAACGTTGGAAAGAAACGCCCATCTCATCAAATCCAGCCCTCTGCCGTTTCCGATGGCTCAGCCATAGACAGCTCATTTGGGAGGTTTCACTGAAAAGCCATTTTTTATGCTTTCACCGTGGCACAGTGTTTCACGATACAGCAAACATAGCTAAACCACATGCATATTTTTATGATGATAACGTGATTCCACCCGTTTTTCTTCTGATTTCAGGCTGCAAGATTCTGGTCGTATGGAAAGTTTGCAGGGTTGGGGTTATGTCCATCCATTAGTATTAAAGTCCCTTTAAAGGACTCTAATTTGTTTGGCCCTGTGTAGTAAGACTGTAGTCTTATTGCTTCCGATCTTGGAGTGTTTCTGTTTTTCATGCTTATACTCATGTTTTTTTCAGCGGAGGCTCAGAGGAACTGGGTTATTTTCCCATCTCTTGCACAGAATAACAGTAGGACTGTGGGGTGGTTCTGCCTTTGCTCATCAGCTGTAGGAACCAGGGCTGGTGGTGTCTTTTCAGGGTGTTAGCTTCCTAGGATCCAGCTGCTTTGTGTTTATTCAGTTCCAGCTAATGCAACCTCTGTTCACTCCTGGGCTTTAGGCACTCATAAAATACAAATAATAAATAATGACGATGGAAAACAGTTTTTGCCTTTCTCGACAGTCATATTGCTATTGCTCCAGAGATTTAGTGGTTTAGTAGCAGTTATACTTTAGTTGGTTGCTAGTTGATTATTATTAAACAGAAATAATCTTAAATTGCAAAACACAGTATGGTGGTAATTACCACTCTCGTTTCTGGTGGCCCCTGGAAGAGATGCCTGGTGATACGACACAAGCTACTGATTCTCTTGCTTATAATAGGTCAATCTTTTTATAAATCATTATAAAATGCTTTCCTAAATTTTTTTTTTTCCTAGTAACTCCTCTGCATCTTTAATTCCATAATTGTAACCTGGATGTTATGCAATCATGAATGGGAGTAGATGCGAGTATGAGGAAGGAAACCTTTATATATAGTCCGCACTAAGAAAAAAATAGCAAACTTCTACTAAATTGTAGATTTCGCTCTGGTTCAACAAAACACACAAGCATGTATAGAACAGGGACTACATGCACAATTCCTCTGATCTGAAGGAAGAACAAACGAAATAAAACAAACACTTTCAATGCCTTGCTTGATTTTAAGAGAACAAGCAAATTCTTTGAAAAAGGGGAGAACTGCTCTGTGCTTTTTAAACTAGAAATGTGTAGACTCCTCTGGACTGAGCTTTGTGCTCCTGAATCACGTTCTGCAAGAGATGTGGTTGGGGAAATAGTTGAACAAAGTTTCAATTGGGGCCTGTAAATGTCCTCAGCCTTGTATCTGAAGCACAAAATATACTGGCGGTGCACGTGCTAGTTCATTTGTCTTTGTTTTTAACCATTTTTACCTAGAAGCATGTGCTTTCTGTGTTCAGAAGGAATGTTGTATCCCTTGAGAAATATTCTCTTCTCCTGTTGTGTGTCCCTCTCCTCTGTCCTTACCTGTGCTGCATGGTCTGCTTAATGAATGTGTGGCGTTTCCAGATGCATGTCTATATGAACGCCAGTACATCTTAACTGGTGATAATGAGATCTTTTTCCATCCCTCCTTTTAGGTTGTGTGGAGGAAACTTGGAGATGCTGCAGGGTCGTGCCCTGGAATTAGACAACATTTGTCAGGAAATCAGTATAAAGGACCTATGTAAAAGGCTCTGAGCAAGTCCTCTCTCTGAAGAGAAAGAGTTTGAACTGCTGATAAGAGAGAAAGAACTGACTGTGTCCACAGCGACTTCCCAGCTGACGACGCGGTGTCTATATGCACAACAAGAGACTTCACTGGAAACTAGTAGAGATTCTGCACAGAGGTGTTTCAGAGGAGCCGTGTTGTCAGTGTTCCCCAAATACTGCTCTTTCGGTATACTGGCTAGTGAAACGCTGCCACCGCCACATCATCACTTCAACACACCACATTTAGAAGCACAGAGGTATTTCCATCCTAACTAAAAGATAATTGGGATTCTGCAGGAGTTACATGAATTAAGTTTTATTTTGGTTAGTTACAGTGAATCTCTAGTAAGTCTGAACGAATTTCCCACTGGATTTAACAGAGGTTTTTCACCAGACTGGAGAGACATTGATAAACTGTGCCTTTGGTCTCCACAATTTTGAGAAGGTCACTTCTTAGTAACTCACACTTCAGTCTATAAAATATTGGTTAATGGTGCTTAGGCAGTTTCCAAATGATTTTTTTGCTTTGGTAGAATACCTGCCTTTGGAGGTGCTAAAAGATCATAAAGTCTCCTAGCCAGCCAGTAGTGTAGCATGACTACAGTACTTGTAGTGAAACACAATTTCTTTCTAAATGAAAGTAAAGATAGCTTTCTTTTCAATTCACTTTGATGCACATCTTCTGAAGACGTGTACGATGTTCACAGCCCTTTAATGAACAGAATACTTAGGTATCAGTATTACAGGTCTCAAATCAGAATTTCCATCAGAGGTTTTTTTGGGAAGTATTTTCCAATTGTCGGGATGCTAATTTCCACTGTTTAATTTAGAGACGTGCTGGTTTATTTAACAAGAGTCTATAAGGATCTAAAAGATTGCACTGCATTATAAAAAAGCTTTTCTTGCCACTGTAGCGTTCTTTCAAAGAAAAAGGTTTTATTATACTCAGAGCATGTCTTTCATTATTATGAGGCAGAAAGCTCTTGTTCAGATTGCCTGAGATTTGACCAGACGGCGCCCTAGGTGTGCTTAGTTTATTTTTATCTACGCGTATGATACTAGTTGTGTGTATTGAATTGCAATGATAGGTATTTTGTGTATATCTAAAAGCAATGATAGTTTCATGTATGAATGTGCAACAGGCTTGTGATTGAATGCTGTTGCTTAACTTTTTACCATAGCTGAGCATCAAAAAGACTAATAAAAGTTTAAAAAAAAAAATAGGAATGCAACAATTCCTGGGTTTCTGGTTTGTTCTTGGTTACTAAGATTTGAGCCAAAGTCAGAATCTCTGTTTTCTCTGAGCTTGCAACGTGCTGTATTCGTGGGCTATTTGCAGTGGAATGTAGCTCGGTTGCTGTACAATCTTTTGTTAAATAGGAGTATGATGTAAATCTGCTAACTGTCTTCAGAAAAAGTGTGTTAATTTGCAGCAATAATTATGTTGGTTTCGGTTGTTATTTTTACTTGGTACCATTTGATTTAAGGCCTCTGATCCAGCATTGCTTTCTCAGCCAAAACTCCTGTTCACTCTGTCTCTTTGAGTTGGAAATGCAGAATCGGCCTTCCATTTTGAAACATTGCACTCTTGCATAATTTCTTATATATTACCTAGCCCATACAGTTGTCTGTTATCTTTACATGTTGTTTTCTCCCATACATATTGTTTGCATAGTTAAACTTCAATTGTTGTATTCCTATATATCTATATATATGTATGAAAAAATGTAAAACATGTACTTGTGCCTGCAGTACGTATGTGCAGGGGCTAATTTGAGGGACACTGGTCTTTTGACACTATACTTGTGTAAATTTTGATACTGTATTAAAACTATTTTTTTACAGTTCTGCATACAATTGGGTATCAAGTATCTGTGTTCATCTTAGCAACGGTAATAAATTATAGAATCTCACCATTGTTTGCTCTCCTTTAATGACCAAAGCCGCAAGGTGCTTGGGCTTACATGCAGTTCGCTTTGAAGGAGCTGTTGGAAATGTTTCCTGCTTTGTTGAGAAATTAGCTGCATGTTGTGGATTTTTGTTCACTTTCTCTCCAGGTGTCTTAAAAAATCCCAGATATGTGGATTTGCTTATATCTTTTATGCTAACTGAGGTAGCTACATATATATATGTATTATATATAGCAGCTCCAGGTTGCCACCAGCTGCATGCCCCAGGTGTGACGCATTAAGTCCCCAGGTGCGACGCATTAAATCCCCAGCTGTGCTGCAAGGGCAGCCCCAGGGCCCTTCCTCCCCCTTTTAGCAGAGTGTGGCTTTGAGACGAGGACAGGGCAACGTGGAGCTCCCAGAGCTGCTTCGCTCAGGTAAGAGACACAGGCATCTTCGTGGTACTGGGGGAGGCTGGTTGTGTCCTGCTGTGTGCCAGTGGCCTCCTGTGCCCACCACATCTTGTTCCCCCACGGGCTGCGCATGCTGGGGGAAAGTGCAGCAAAAGGGCTGCCTGTTATTGCTTGTGCTGCTGAGCAGAAAGCTTGCACTAACTTTTCTGGGGAAAAAATACTTAGTACAATCAATATCTTGAAGCTAATAAGTCCTGTGGGGACTCCTAAAAATACAGCTTACTAAGAGGAGAAAGTGTGCAGTGTGTGGAGAAGAGGGTCAGTGCCCTTGAGGGGTCCTGTAGCCCGCTGATATGTCTCTGCACTAATGAATAAAAATTGCTTTAGTAGTTACAGAAGTTCATCTCATCTATCTTGCTCTCTGCCCGCACGCTTAGGCGTTTTTCAGTAAAATGTAATTGCGCCAAGCCTCATGGACTCCTCATTCAGTTGTTTTTAGCATAATTCTGCTTCAGTGGAAAATTTGCACGTGTTGTTACAGGGCCGTTCCCAGCTTCTGAGCTGAGCATGAATGAGCTATAAAATTCACTATGCGAGTGAATTTTAAATAGCATTCGCGTAGCAGATGTAGTGAGTGGATTTTACATTCTGGAGTGGAGAAAAGCTGCTTTGCTGAGGGGTTAGAAGGTAAAGAATGGCAGTTTGTTTTTCAGCAAGTGAATGGTTTCAGTAGAGCCTGTTCCCCAAAGGTTGCAGTTGATGGACATGTTTATGAACACGGCACGAAGTCAGTGTGCCCTTTTTAACATTTTGAGCACAGCCAGCCCAAACAGCCTCTGCGGCGTGGGGACGGCACCAGCCCCGTGCTCCTTTGTGCTGCCCGAACCTCTCAAACACCGAATGCCCCACAGGCTTTCCGTGTTGCTGTCGGGTACCTCCCCAACAAATACCACTCTTGCCAGGGCAATGGTTTGTTTAATTCTTTATATGTTTTTGAAATAAGTCCCAGGGTGGTGCGAGTTCTTTATACTGATCTCACCGGTTTGATACAGAAGAAAGTGACTTAGCCACTTTTTTCTCCACTTTCGGGGGGGGGCGGGGGGAAATCTTGATGAGACTGTCCTTCATTGTGAATTCCTGCAGAACAAAGTAGCAAATGCAGCTGCCACATATATAATGCCAAGACCTCCTTATATCTCCACACTTGTGTTTTCCAGGCTTGGGTGAACCATGTACACAGGGACCCTCAGCCATGAATGTCCTCAAGCCAGCAACTAGCTCTGCAACTCTGGTCATCCAAAAACCTGAAGGTAAGAACAGCTGACTTGATAGCAGCTCTGCATGGATTTAATAAATAGAGGTTCTGCATTATTGAATCAACCAATTTGCTGGGCTGCCCTGTGATTATGGTACTTTCTAGCAGGTGCAATCAGGCCCAAAAGTGATTGCAAGATGGCGTTTGCCAGAGCTGGCAACTCACATCTGATATATGCAGTATTGGGAGTGAGGGGGAAGGAGAAACTGCAAAAGGAGGAAAGAGCAAATAATCATCTTGCTAGTAATGACCCTTCTTTTTTTAAAAGAACCTCTCTCCCCTCCTCCTTGGTGACTCCAGACTCTTCATGGTTTTTTTTATCCCAGAAATAGCATGGTGTGGCTGAAATTTTCGATATGTGGAAGAGAAACTTTAGTTGTTATGAAAAGCTAAATACTGGGGTCACTTCACAAAAAGATCAGAGAGGAGGGGAAGGCTTAGTAATTGCTGAAGGAGCATAAGACTACATGGGATGCTCCTGGGCACTCCTGCTGACTTTGGTGGGGGGGTCAGACAACCCAAAAATGGTAGTGTGACTGAAAATAAAGTTTTAAATAGTCTAACGTAAATAAAAATATTATCATGTTTTAAAAACTTAAGAGAGAACATGGACCAGAGGCATAAACCTTACCTGAATCTTTCTTAACTGAGAAAGCTCAAACATTTCCATGGGAGTAATTAGAAAACTAAGAAATATTCATGGGGAACGATGAAAAATAAATAAAACCATAGCATTTTCTGATATTGATATGAGGTCTTTGCTGGCTGTGCTGCAGCCAGGTTCTGGGTAGCTCCAGCCCTGCCCAAGCATTTGTGGTTCTTCTCACGCTACTGGCTGATGGGGAAGGACCCCGGGGACATCATTACATGCTTCCATCTGAAACAGCTTCCTAAACACCTGGTTCAGAAAGAAATGCCAAAATAATAATAATGAATTATTTAATATCTTTGTTAGAACATGATAATTACTCTCCACTTGAATAAGAATTTATTATAATTATCTCTTCAATGCAGTGGCCATGGCCCTGAAGTTTGAAGCTTCTTTGGTGGGTTTTTCCCCCACTACTGTGAATAGGTTGAAGTAAATTTTTAAAATAATTTTTTTATAAGTCTTCAGATGAAAAAGTAAAGGGAAAAATAACATTGGGAACCCATCCCCAGACTCTGGAAAGAAAGAGGACAAAGGGAAGGGGGATGGGGACCAGTCCTGCCAGGATCCAGGCTGCAGGTGAATCTTCTGCGGTGTTTATGTGACTAGTGGTACAACCCATTTGCTATGCAACTCACCTGTGCATATGGCAATCATAAAGGACTTGGAGAAAGGCTGTGTGAGAAACAAGGTGTTTTATCATTTTCCCATG